CTTGCGATCACGCTGAAGCCATGGACTCCAAGCTTGGATGGCGTACTCTGTATAGGGTCGAATGTACACGTTCAGCAAACGTGGGAATAGTGATGATTCAAACCGGCCAAAGACTCGCCGAAGTAAGCCGACATTCTTCATAGCAGCAGACGAAGCCTTAGCACAGTTGTTGGAGCAGCTTAAATCCTCCTGAACAACAATACCTAAGTCCTTTTCGCTAGAAGTATGTGGTCCCCGAGGAAATAAGAGAATTTCCGCGGGGACCAGCAGCTACCCTCGGGTTTCTCGAAAATCTGTCCTGCCCCCTGCGGGATTCCTCAGCCCGAATTGATTACAGTTGAATGGAGAATACTAGTTGTCAGAACAAATGGGTTTATGATTGCGAAAAAACTAGCACAATCGTGTCCCGGTTCGAGGGTGGGGTTGTGTGTGTTATCCAGCAAGATGCGGGATTCGTGAACGATATTTCTGCACTATCCCCTCTGACTACGCATGCCGGAAAAACAAGATTGCAGAAGTCCTCGATGATTGCCTAACGAAGCGGAGTGCAAACATCGGTAATTAGACGAATAACTCTGCGCGCCTAAAAGCTGCGGTTTGGTGACATTCAGGGTAAATTTATACAGTATGGAAAGATTGATTCGGACAAACCTAAGGGATTCACGAAATGATCATTCATTTGTAAATGTTGATGAAAGACGTGCTATAGGTTTCGTGAAATACATGCAGAAAGTAAATCTGTAACCCAGCCGCGAAACTCATTATGTCGAACCGTACGCTACCGTAACCTCAGTGCGTCTTCAGGCCAATACTAGAGACAAGTTAGTTGTTTGTTCACCAATTCTCTGTTATGAGGTTGATGGTGAACATGCACTGATTTTCGCTTAAACACTGTCAGTTTGGTGAAATCCCCGGATACGCGCTGCTAAACTCATAGTCAAATGCACAAGGAAGCAACCTCAGCGAAAACCGCACAATAGGCGTGAATCTGTGTTCTGTGTATAGCCTAGGAATATTGACACAGGCAAATTACCACGGAACTAAACGATCGCGAACAATTACCTGTCTTGACCTCTATGAAACGGTCAGTGCGAATCAATGTGAAACTGATCCAAGGGAAAGAAAAAGAGATCCGCAGCAGATGTTGTTGCCGCTTCATCTGCTGTACAAGCTCAGTCTTATCACAGAAGTCAAAAGATGACTTGCATACGAGCAAACACTCTCACATAGTCCGGTTATTTCAACAGGATTGAATTAAATACGATGTTATGGTTGATTTTGGTGAATGTGTCCTCGTGTCCCGAACTTCATCCGTGCTCTTTCGTCAATTAGGATTTCCTGATTCCCCGTCGAACCGCGTTATTTCTGTCTGGAACTTCAATCCATGTACGTATGTACGTGACTTTCTAGCCTCTCCATAACCCATGAACTATTGGTTTCGACTGATGCACAGCCGAGCTCACATTCACTCGAACTTGTATGTTGCTTATGCACCATTGCTTTCCCCCGTCCCTTCAAAGTGCCTCAAACAAAATTTTTTTCAATCCAGTCCGATTATACTAGCACACGAGCATGCAGTCTCATCTTTGTCCGGCGTTAAATTTATTTCACGCTGTGTCGTTGTTGTGCTTCCCGTTGATTTTTATTTTCCTCGTTTCGTGTACGCATGTTTCCATCTTTCTATGTCGATCTGCTATTCGTGTGCCGCACCTAGATACGGTAGTGATTGGGTGATGCCACCCCCTCCTCCTCACCCCTCTCCATTCTCTGTGTGCGTGTGTGCGTGCTTGTGCGTGTGTATGCGTGCACAATGCACTTTCGGACTGATAATCGGCATAGATCGTCTGATGGGTTCCTCGCCTGCGCTTTTGCAATGCACGAGCCACGGGAGCGCCAGTTGTCTACGCCATGTCGGTGGTGCAGATGAATCTCGTCTCGTTGAACGTGCTAACTTGGTGGATGGTCATTCAGATCATGTTGAGTCAGATGATGAGGATGAGCACCCTAACAATAACGCTAATAAGGACGATGATG